ATCTACTTGGGATAGTTGATCCTGTGGGAAGCACTGCGTGGCGCCATGGTAAATGGCAGGAAATTCTGCAGGGAACCTCAAAACCAAAGGCCTGCTCAGAGAAGGCGGGAAGCTGGAGTCAAGGAGCCAGAGATGGGCAGCACCAAAGGCTGCCAGACTGAAGGGCCAGGGCTGACACTGAAAGACAAGGTGTGTAGCCAATGAGAGTGAAGGAGGGGGAGAGTGAGCAGGAAATAGACGAGGACACACTGCTGGACATCTCCCTACAGAGGCTGCCTGGAGCTGGCTCTTAAGGACAGTGGTGGGAGGGGCACAGGAGGCTCACACGCTGTGAGCCAGATGGGAATGGAAACGAATCCAGTGTTTCTTGAGGAAGTTTGGCAGTATGTATTAAAAGCCAGCATGGTCGGGTGTAGTGGCTCACACCTGTAATTCCAGAACTTTGGGAGGCCTAGGCAGGTGGACTGCTCAAGCCCAGGAGTTCAAGATCAGGCTGAGCAATATGGCAAAACCCCATCTCTACTGAAAAAAAAAAGCAAATAGCCAGGTATGGTGATGCACACCTGTAGTCCCAGCTGCTCTGGAGGCTGAGGTTGAAGATAGCTTGAGCCTGAAAGGTGGAGGTTAACATGAGCTGACCTGACACCACTACACTCCAGCCTGGGCAACAGAGCAAGACTCTGTCTGAAAAAAAAAAAAAATTGATGAGTTGGGCACAGTGGCTTACGCCTGTAATCCTACCACTTTGGGAGGCTGAGACAGGACTACTTGAACCCAGGAGTTCAAGACCAGACTGGGCAACATAGTGAGACCCTGTCTCTACAAAAAAATACAAAAATTAGTCACGTGTGGTAGTACGAGTCTGTACTCCCAGCTACTTGGGAGGCTGAGGTGGGAGAATCACCTGGGCCCAGGGAGGTCAAGGCTGTAGTGAGCCATGATCACACCACTGCACTTCAGGCTGAGTGACAGAGTCAGATCCTGTCTCAAAAAAAAAAAAAAAATGGAGGCTGGGTGCAGTGGCTTATGCCTATAATCCCAGCAGTTTGAAAGGCCACAGCAGGAGGATCACTTGAGGCCAGGAGTTCAAGACCATCCTGGATAACAAGTCCCTATCTCTACAAAAGAGTTTTTAAAATTAGTAGGGCATGGTGGCATTCACATATAGTCCTAGCTGTTCAGGAGGCTGAGCTGGGAGGATCACTTGAGACCAGGAGTTTGAGGCTGAGGCTGCAGTGACCTATGTATGATTGCACCACTGCACTCCAGCCTGAGAGTGAGACCCTGTCTCAAAAAGA